TAGGACAAGAATCACGAGATCAATTATTACACGACTACTGAAAGAATATAGAAACTCAGGACTCCATGTTTATTCAAATTTATTGAAATGGATGAAATAAAGACACCGTGTGGCGAATTCTGAGGAGACTCTCAGACGACTCGTTAGTAGGTAGAATGACTCTCTCCCTCGGCGCACTACTTTCAGCCTCAGCAAGAGATTCCACTTGTGCTGCGTTGGAGGAATCTGTATCGGGGAGACCGGCGAAGGAGGCGGATAAAGCTGTGGAGATACACCTCAAATATCTTAGCCTTGACGCAGCTAAGCTCGAGTGGTGTAATGCCAAGATGGTACTCCCGACTTGGCGGCGTTTTGTGAGGGAATAGAAAGTTGAGTTTGGAGCAAGTGCGTCGAGGGAACGAGAAGATGACAGCGACAAAGTGTCCATCTTTTGCAGGATGGTAATGTTCTTCATTGGTCTTCCCTCCCCTATGGAACGGATGCCTTAACCTGCCTCCAATTTGTGTTCAAAACTGCTTAACCTCCAATTGAGAAAAGTATCCTTTTATCCTTCAAAAAAATGAAGCCATTGAAAAAATCTTGGGATTAAGTACCAGTAGCTCTTTTCTCAATCCACTAGTTATTACTCTCTCCATCCAGCAATTAAGTTCTCATGCAATTTCCTTTTTGGGCAGTCTCTAAATTAAGTTCATGCTTTAATATTTTCCTTATTTGACAAATTATCTAAATTAAAACAGTGCAAAACAGTGTCAAACAATGTCCAAACAGTGTCAAACAGTACACTCTACAATAAAGTCAAATTTATTTTCTTAATATGTGTGGAGTCAAATCGGGAACTTAATTGCGGGACGGAGGGAGTAATTATGTCTTCCAAGGATAATGAAACGCCTAGCAGCAATTTGATCTCCACTTGTTGGGATCATTGCTACTTGCTAGCTAAATTGACCGCAAAAAAAGCACCCACACACTTCTAGGGGTGTGAGTGAGCTAAGCAGTTCGTGAGTTCCTCATGGATCGCTCCAAAAAAAATCGACTCGAGTGCACGAGCTCATGGACCGACTCGAGAGTCCAATCACATCATCAATGATAAATCACAACAAACAAGAAGCAAAAACTACTTCTAACATACAAAGGATGAAAGGATAATAAGGGAGAAATGTGAGATATCACCAAACACTGCAATCTGCTTCGGTGACTATAACTCCACTTCTGCCCATCGCAATCTAATATCCATCATCAAGAATGTAGCTCTAGATGTCATTAACCAACAATCAAAATTTAAGATTGATCAATGCACAAATGACTATCCAATCAATAGTTCAAACAATGATGCTCAAGGAAGACAGCACCACAAAAAATCAGTTTTCACACATTGTTTTTCTTATCTTTTTGGCTGCAATCGCACACTCTGTTTTTCCCAATGATTGGTCTTCATATTTTTTGAGAAACATAGGAAGTTGGGCTTATGCTATTTGTGGTCTTTTAAAAGGAGGGGAAAATAAGACAACCCAATAGATTACACATAGAATTAATCGCATTAGAAAATGCATAGTAATTCGTTAACCACTGATCGGGCAAGTTTCTTATAATGACCAGTTAGAGAAAACTTTCCTGCGAAAAGTCCACAACATGTGTCCAATAAAAAACGACAAAGAACGATTCACTACCATCTCGAGTGACGCTATAAAAAAACACAATAGAAGCAAAAAATCAATATAGTCTGAAAATGAAATTCGAACTGGAATAAATAAAGGTGCAAGGTGCATAGTAGCTTTGCATTGATCCTGTTGAGCTTGTTAGCTTGAGCTCGGACCAACCCATTTTCTTTATGTCACTTTTTTCTAATATCATCATCGCTTATGCATCCCATGTCCCCTCTTCTTCAATGCACCGCCACTTTTGTTCCGCCACTTCTACGCATGTTGTCTGCTTCATAGTACCATTAGACTCCCTTGCATTAGGTCCATAGATAGGTTCCTCTGGGATTCTCAAATGTGGGACCCATCCGAAAAAATGTTTAACCCCTGTCGGTTGCCCTTCTCCAAAATCAATCATTTACTTCCCCTATTCATACCATTACACCCATTGCTTGCTCTCAACCACGAACCGAAATTCTTTATCTGCTTCGAGGTGGTTTGTCCTAGAATATGAGGAGAAAACGTGTCTGCATGACCAATAAAATCACACGCAAGACAAAAGTTGGGAAATTCTTCATACTTGAGGTCCACCCACAGACCATTCTCATTTGCTTTCTAAACTTTCATATTCTTCTTCAGAGGATTCCCAATATCTAGGCACATCCTGATTCTCAAGTAAGCCCTCCAACGCCTTTCAACGGATGGTCATCTAACTTCACAAACTTTCTTAGGGATTTCCTAATAAATTTTACCACCTTAAGCGTCAGATAACCTACTGACAGGTTATGAACTTGAATCCAAAACTCCGAAAAATCAACGAAACTTTCAAAGGTAGACCATCAAATTTTAATTCATGCAAAAGTACCAAATACTGATCATATAACTCGTGGGCCATATTCAATAACATGTTTCATATCCATTTCATGATAGAACGAGAAAAAAAATACATGTAACACCTCGGCCGAGGTCTTTTCTCTCAAATGACCTATAGGCCTAGTACTATCCTCACAATATCTATTTGGCGGTGCTGATAGATATTTGGTTTATTTTAGATATCGGGTGGACACTTAGTAGGGAGGATTTTGGGGCTTAGATTAGATTGGCTTATGGGTGCAACGAGGGCATTGCGATCCTAAGTGTGTGTGTGTAATACTTGAGATTTGATTAAAAAGGGTTAATAGTACTACTCATACCAACAAGGTGCATCTCCTTTTAAGGAAGTTCATCAGCTAAGAACTCTAAGTTAAGCGTGCTTGCACGGGAGTAGTCTTGGGATGAGTAAACCACTTGAAAGTTATTTAGGGCACACATGAGTGAGGACAAAGTGCGCGATAAAAGTTTCTTGTTGGTTTGTGAGGACAGTACTAGGTCTGGAGGACATTTAGGAGTAATGGCTTCAGGCCTTGCAGGGTCGGAGTGTTACAATACCTCTTGTCACCAATCTCCTTAATGTCGACTCATCTGCTACGCCTCCTAATGGAAGCCAAAATTTCTCTAAACGACGTGAACTTCACGGCAAACCCTCATCTTGTTCGTCATTGTCCTCCACTTCTGACAGGACAGCCTCCACGTCTGCATCGTCAATACATAATCACTCTTAGTCCGCAACCAGATTTTGTAATGCACTCATTCTACTTCACGTGAATTAGATAACTGTGCTCGACACTGCTTGCCTCCAAGCTTTTGGCCTCCAAGTTGTTGACCGAATAAAGTTACCAAAACTGAATGAAAAAACTGAAAGGAGAAAGCATGCCTAAGCTGAGGCAACGAGAAAATCTTCACTACCAGCCACTTCAAATGTTCCCTAGCGGCTATACCAACCCTAGACGTAGTCTAGGTCCAGACCGCTTTAATACATATTCTAGCATTCTCTTACTAAATAACTGGATTAGTGAATAACTTTTATCATATTTGTACCAAGTACAATATTATTGTGAAGTCTTTAAGTGGTATTATGTTGATATCATCATTTTTACAAAGGTGAAAGTGGAGAACTTAAAAGGACTAGATAATAAAAGACCATATGAAGTAAGTCTTTATCAAGATAGTCTTTGTGGCGGTGTGGCTTAGTTTCAAAATGAGTATTGATTGTGCTCCAGCAGTAACAAAACCGAGCAATACCACATGGTTTGTCACGCCCCGGACCTGCCGGACACGTCAACAACCCGCCGTACAATACGAATAGTCAACTGTAGTCCAACTCATCCATACTGTACAAGGCGTCTTGTATACCATTCACACATAGTACATCCGTAAACAAACATAATGTAAAATATTCATTTAAAGCAGCGGAAGTAATATAACAAGTGTTCAAGCCACACTTGGCAAAACATGGGCATACAAGCCCTCAAATAATTATTCAGAAAATAATATTCATGAGCATTAATTCAAATGTTTTTAAAACAGGAACGGAGGAAGCACGAACCACGTCTTCCTTCCTTGAATTCTCCCGGAGCAACGAGCACTGGTAGCAAGCTCAACTCCTACCTGAAACTGTGAGGTGGCCTCCCCCGTGAAGGGGAGGTCAGTACTTGGAAGCTTTTGACAAGTACAATGACAACTATACTAAGTATAATCAATGTTTCAATTTCCAAGACCCTCAAACTAGGGTGTTATCATATTATAGTTAACTTTGTTCGTTTAGTGTCAATTCATCGTTATTCACCACGGTCTAGAGCCCAGCTCATAATCACCATTATCTACTACGGTCTAGAGCCCAGCTCAATAATCACCGTTATCTACTACGGTCTAGAGCCCAGCTCAATAATCACCGTTACCTACTACGGTCTAGAACTCAGCTCAATAATCATCGTCATCTACATCGGTCTAGAGCCCAGCTCAATAATCACCAATATCTAATACGGTCTAGAGCCCAACTCAATAATCACCGTTATCTACATCGGTCTAAAGCTCAGCTCAATAATCACCGATTCTTGGTGGGGTAAGGGGGGTCGGATGTACGCAGCCTTACCTCTGTACTAAAGCACAGAGAGACTATTTCCGGATGACCCATAGTGAAAATCACGTCCAAAATTGCATGACTGACTGCTACTTCATAACAAAGAAGCGCAAACAGTTTAGAGTCATTTTGCTTTATTCCATCATATTCTCAAGCCAAAAAATAATGAATCTTTGGCTCCATTGCAAATAATGCATGTCTTGTATTATGAATCTTTTTTCCACCGCTATGTACACTTCTATTTCTATCTTCACTCGATTTGTCTTCACTCTAATCACTGCTATGTTCACTTGTACTTAAAAGTTCATTGTTATGCGCAATTTGTGTCCTATGTTTTTCTTGGTATATTTTAGATAATTTGTTTTTAATTTAAATTGAACCAAAGCATTTAAAATAAACCAAAGTGGACAAGAATATCTATTAGAATATGAAGGGAGACATAGTCATTTTCAGTTATATAAACCGAACTTCAAATCAAACAAAACCATTCCCAAATCGAACCGAAACCAAACTAAAATGCATTTGTATCACTTTGGTACCATTTTCCTCAAACCGAATAAATCGAAATCGAACTAAAACCGAACCATAAACCGATTTGCCCACCTCTATTCTGGACCATCAAAACTTTACAATATTTTATACCAATTCATGAGCTGGCTGACTTCGGCAGAGCTACAGTGTCTGGACCATCTAGTGGTGCTTGTACTTAATTTCCCAGATCTCAACATTGTCTCCTCTATCATATTCTCTTACATATTTTGGGATCTCCTTAAGATTGATCTGCTTACCTAGAAAGCAACGTGAATATGGGCTACTCACAAGTTCATTACTTTCTGCATCATCAATTGCCATATTTCAAGATAATTGAAGGAACGAATCATCACAGCACCTTAACCCCAAAACATTATCAATTAAGGAGTGTTTGCAAGGGCTTATGGTTTTTAAACATTTAAACACCAACTTCTACTTATTTTAAGCAGTTTTAAGTGTAAAGCTATAAGTGAAAAGCTAAGAGCAGGTAGAGTGATGCTTTTAAATGTTTTTCACTTTTTTTTATCACACCAATAAGCACTTTTTCAGCAAACACTCTAACTTTTACTTTTAAAAACCACTTTTCTTTTCACACTACCAACTTTTACTATTAATCACTTTTTATATAATTTCTAAAAATATCACTTTAAAAAAAGTAGAAGCAATCGCAAACATTCCCTTAATCATCTTAAATTTCTTAGCCACTCTTACCTCCCTCAAGATAGCTTCTGAAGTGTGAGTATCCGTTTGCAACAACATCAAGATCGTCAAGGGTGAAATTGTAACGCTTTTCGAGTGCCAAATATAACACCTGAAATGAGAGAGTGAGAGACCAAGTGAAGCCAAAGCCTTGAAACTGTGTCCAAAAACAAAATACAAATAGAGAAGTTCTTAGGATTTGAGAGCAAAAGGTGAATAACCGAAATATTCATTTCTTAGCAAGAAGTTTCAGCTGAGTCTTTAATTTTGCTCATATTCAAACAATCTTTGTGAAAACAGCACACTGAGGTTGTGGCAATCATGTTCATCAGAATATCCGCTGCTATGCCCTTTGGCTACTTTAATTTGGGAATACCTTTTCAGGATTTTCAGCCATCAGTCGCTCTAAGATAGAGAAAAATGCATCAGTCAGATCATCACTGTAAATTACATCTGCGGCTAGAAGTATTGAAGCCTTTTTTAGTTCTTCAATTTCAGTCTGTGTCCAAACATTCCTGGAAGAAGGCTTTATTATATTAAAGAAAATTGAACAATCCACTGCCAAGTTGAAAAGAAAAGGGGGTTCCACATAAATATGACTAAAAAATGTTAAAGACAAAAATAGGGCTACTTTTAAAAAAATTCAAAAAATAACTATATATGTTAGTGACATTGCCAGCGACACATGACACATCCCACATGTGACTGACCGGCGGGAGCTTGGAGAGAAAGGGATAGATTTAGGGTTGTGAGATTACTTAAACCATTTTCTGGAAGATAGAAAAGTGTCATACTGTTCTCATTACAAGCTCTAAAAGTAATAATGCTGCTAGTTTTCCAAAATTAATTACAAAAAAAGTAATAGAACATTATATACACCTTTTTACGGATTGCAAATATTCTGCTACTTTAGGAGGCCATGGACCTTTCCAGTCGAGTTCACGCACATGGATTTGAGCATTTGGATGGACAATTCCAGCATTGTTTTGGACATTCCTAGCACAGTTATCAAGTACTTCCTCACCATGGTCTGGCATAAGGGGATCCAGCTTAATAGTTCTATAATCAATAAGAGTGGGAATCTTGTTTTCTTTCATTCACTAACAAAGTTCAAAATACACATTAAGTGCGACATAATAGTTGCATTATTATTTCATTCAAAAACATTGCATACTGATATGATAATCCATATAGCTATATGACTCAAAAGACAAAACTATTATTAATGGCTTATATGTAGTTATTACATAACAAATGATTACTGATACCTGTTAAGAAAACAGTTCTAGCAACATGGGCAAGTATCATCCCAGCCATCCCTGATGAAGAAAATATCAACTACAAGAAAACGCTTAAACCCCCTTTGGAGGAGAAGATATGTTTCTACATTCAAAGAAAGAATAAAACATTAAGTATTACTCTGTTCACCACTAAGTTATCCGCATAATTTCCGTTTTGGTCCATCACACAATTGTCCCACATTTTCTTTTAAAGGAAAGATTATGTGCTTTATTTCTTCTCTAAACAAATATCAACCACACAATTTTCTTTTTCTTACAATTTGGGCCATCTGAATATAGTTTTTTATTTAGGGACCGAGGTTGTAAAACACTCAATTTAAAAAATCAATCATTTAAGAAATAAATAGTGTTTTTATGTGCTTAGACCAACCAAAATCATCTGTCAGAATAAATGTGTAATGTAACGCTATGAGAGTTGTATCAAAACCAAGCTAAACTGCAACTATACCATCTAAAATAGATGAAGTAGATGTCATATGCAACACAAACTCAGTGAGCACTAGTTCTGCTCCTCATATCAGAGGTTTTTGGAATGACCAAAAAGTAACAAAACCTTTTAGATGAATAGACGATGAAAGGTAACTAAACTTGTTGGAGGAATAAAAGTAACTAAACTGTCACCTAACCTCTATTACTTTTTAGAGATCTTTCACAACAATGGGTGACAAATTAACTCCAATCCATCTCAAAAAGAAAAGTAAAAAGATTGGCAGCCTCAAGACGAACACTTCCACTTGTACTAGACTACTAGCTCATAATTAAAGGTGCAAATATCGAGAAAAATATCAAAGCAAGTGTCGTTGATGCCAAATAAGACAATAGACGACAATGCAAAGAGATGACCTACATTTTTTGTAGTACTCTTCGATTCTTTTTTTCCATCATTTCCAATGGAGCCAAAGACTCACTATTTTTTGTCTTGGGAATGTGATGGAATAAAGTCAATAAACCAAAATGGCTCACTAAATTGTCTACGTTTCTTTGTTATGAAGTAGCAGTCAGTCCATGCAATTTTCAAAGTGGATTTCATCATGGGTCATCCGGAAAGAGTCTCTATGTGCTTTAGTACAGGGGTAAGACTGCGTACATCCGACCCCTTCTTACCCCACCATAAGTGGTAGCCTTTGCAGCACTGGGGTAATGTTGTTGTTGTATAGATCCCCCTCCAAAGAGGTTAACATTATAAAAGTAGGAGATAAAATGAATACATTAGATATGATGAGTTCCCAATATCTTTACCTAACAATAGGAGGCATTACACTACTGTATGTCTACAATTTTTTATATCTACATTTTCACTTGTTTTCACCAAAAACATTTTTATGGTTCCCTATTGATTATCTCCTTAATCTAATCTTTTTTTATTAATGGATGATAAAAGAAATATAGTTAAGCCTTCTGCATGGTAACAACTGTAGTTGTTGCATCCTTTTCATAGTTGTGTTGCTACTCAAATAAGCCATCATCATTATCATTACCCCAGTGTCGCAAAGGCTCCCACCTATGGTAGGGTAAGGGGAGGTCGGATGTACGCAGTCTTACCCCTGTACTAAAGCACAGAGAGACTGTTTCCGGATGACCCATAGTGAAAATCGCATCCAAAATTGCATAGACGGACTGTTGCTTCATAACAAAGAAGGGCAGACAATTTAGTGAGTCATTTTGCTTTATTCCGTCATACTCTCAAGCCAAAAATAGTGAATCTTTGGCTCCATTGCAAATGATGGAATATTGCTACTCAAATAAGTAATCAACAAAAATGTGTTCTTGTTGACCTCCTAAGATGTTGTATGGAATTGACATCTACATATAATTCCATGAAACTTCCTAAAATTTTAGTGGTTGTGATAGTTACACATGTCATTCTGAATTCAGCACATTATGCTTATTGGAGAGACAAACTTTTTTCATCCAATAACTTACATTTAGTCTTGACATGTTTAAATATATCGATCTAATCCCATAATAAAAACACCTTTTCATTCAGTAATTTAAACCTTGTTCAGTTTATGTCAAAAGAATTAACTTTTATCAATATAGTCCCACAATTAAAATAATTCCTCTCCAATAATTTTTATCACTTGTTGATGTAATTTTGGCTATTTTGATAATCCTTCAGTAACTTTTTAGGGAGGTAACAAGTCAGAAAAGTATGGCATGACACCTCACAATCCAGATCAACCGAAGTTTTAAGAGGGAAAATATTTGAAATTACGATCTTCATGTCTAAAAACTCTCTTTGTTCTCATTCTCTGCCACCTAAGTATCATATATACCCATCTTTGCATTCTAGTTCTCAATTGGGGATACTGCCACATATTATAGGAACAAAAAGACAAGCATGACATATTCCCTACTTTTTCCAACCAGTTCATTACCCTGATAAAAATTCAGAACGTAAGACTGTGGAACTGATGTAGTGAAAGTTTAACTTTACAGTATTGAAACTAGACAAGTTTAATTTCTGGACTAAATAACATATTATATTTAGATGGTTGGATTACATTGAAATCTGATAAAATTAAATTTGACATAAATACAGGATTAAAACTGATCAAGATTCAAATCTCAGGACAAAATATACCTTTTGGTAAGATGTGATATTCTAGAGTACATGAAAACATACTATGTTGATCTTTAAATATAGTTGTTTATGTCAAAGTTGAGTTTGGGAGAGATAACACGTACGTGTACATTTCTTGATCTTTTAATCATAGTTATTTTTTTGTATATTGACCAGTAGTATCCATTGATCGTGACAATCATGGCCGCTCTCGAGAGTATCATCACAAAATTGATTGAAGATTACGAGCAGATAGAAAGCCGGCCTGACTTAAGAGGTGAGACCATTTTTTCATACTTTGCTCGAGGCCCAAAGGTGTGCGATTGGGATGTTCAATTTTTTTGCCTAGGGGGTTATCGTTTTGGGAGATGAAACGGTCGCATGTGCTCGCTAGGATAGAGATGCGGTAAAAGCAGCACCAATTGGAGCACTAGCACTGCCGGTGCAAGTGGAAGATGTCATTCAAGATTAGCTGAATATCAATAAATCTCGACCTTTTAGCTTTGGGTGGACCATTAACCTTATTTATGATCCAAGCTAAACAATCAATATTCATTGATCATCAACAAATCTTCAAAACACCTAAGGCTTAGCATTTATTTAAGTTGAACTACTACTGCTTAGCATCTCCACCACACTGAGCACCTAAGGCAATTCGAATCTTGGCATGAAAGCAGTTTTTGTTTCAAAACATAGACAAACTCTTGGATAAAATTTTCAACGTTTTCATTACAAGCATTTGAATATAATGGTCTCCGTTTTTTGGCTTCATAACTTTTAATCAAATGTGACAATATTCTTAAATCTAAAGTGTGTGTGTGGTTGTCACTTGTCACGGCTAATAGATACCACTGGTTGATACGTAGACTTCAACCGGTCAAGAATTGTGTAGCAAAACGCCATTTTACCTAACTCAACTAGTCAACTCAACATAGACAATCATTTTTAATATTCAACATAGTATATTTTCAACCTGCCAAAAATATCACCTTTTAGCATATCTGAAGAAGCCAATAACAAAAAAAAAAACTTTTTCATGCTGTTATTTAGATCTTGTTCAATATTGTTTCAGTTAAACTTAAATTTTATTAACTTGGTCTAACAATTTAAGTAAAAAATACTCCCACATCCCACAACGTAAGATGCACTTGAGTTTGGCACGAGCTTTAAGAAAATAAAAGATGTAGTAGTTGTTTTACAATTATAAACTCTTAAAAAGTAATAAAAACCAGTATGGGTCCACACACAAAAAGTAAAGATGTGAAATGATAGATAGAAGGATAAAGTGGGAAAGTAAAAAGTTAATAGCAATTTAGGAAAGTGTTCACACTTTTGGGCCAACTCAACAAGGAAAGTGTATTTTAAAAAATGGGACTGAGGGAGTACCTTTTAATCACATTTAGAACTTGTCCCATTTTTGTCCCGTAAAAATCAAACTTTTATTGAACTAGTCCCACAATTTAATAAATTGTTTACTGCAAGTCCTTTCTCACCAACAGATCAGTTTATTTTTATTTAATGACTTTCCACATTGAAAAGAATTTTATTAATTTAGTCTCACAACTTAGATAATTCTCACGAGTTAGTCCCAAAATGATTTAATCTGCACGTATTTAATTCTCTACTTTTAGTATGTTACCCACTTTAGAAAAAATCTCTTTTCTTTTCTAAAAAAGTGGTGCAAAGTATTAAAATAAAAAATATCTCAGTCATATCTTTGCATTGTTTGTTGTGTTTATTGGCACTGACAGAGCTAAGTTGGTGCTTTGATTCATGCACCATTAATAATGAAGTGATGAACTAATACAAGAAGTGATACATTACTTGAGGGTGTTACTTTTTTATTTTCTTTTTGAGATGGAGTTGAGCTCGTTTTGCACCTATAACTGTGAAAGGTCTCTATAAAACTTAAGATGCCATTTTTAATGTCTAATGAAATTTTCAAATAAGATACGGAAATAGTGATAAACTCGTACAGGTTGGGTGATTCAAGTTTATTAACTTATATTCCTTCAAAAGCATGGTTACTCCTTTTCCCCTTGGACAGAGCGTTGGGAAGGAGAGAAGTAATTTGTTAGCATCCGATTGGATGGCATCTGTCCGCATGGAAGAACAGCCGGCAGCCCGCGCTGCAGGAAATCCTTCTTTATACAAGTTCTCGGACTTTTATTCATAGAAAAAGTTCAAGTACTTGTTTTTTATTTCAAACTTGTTACTAAAAATAGTGAATAATAAATGTTGGGAACAAAAGTAGTTGTTAGAACAGATGTGTAAAACATGAAAGATGAGACTCGCCTGTGCCAGCACCTAGCTCAACTGCAACAATTCCATCAAAAATAGATGAAGTGGATATCGTATGCAAAACAAAATCAGAGAGAAGCAGTTCTGCCCTCCATATCTGACAAAATCAGCAAAGTTTTTTATTAGTGTTATCCACGTTGATGATGGTGAATATGACGTGGAAAGAAGTCATAACTCCTAAAATGAAACATGTTATTACCTGCAAACCAACTCTAGGAAGTGATGATGTGATGTTATGATGGATGGTTATCACAGTATGATATTTTTGTGCTTCTGCAAAATGAAGATAGAAGGAGAATCGCCCATGGTTCCAATAAAACCATTTAAACAATGATAGAATGCAATCATGAAAAAGCAGGAGAATGTCTAATATATAGGCAAATTTGGAATAAGCAGCACAGATTCCATGTTATAGTGGATTCCTGCAGAGAAATTTATAAGCTTGACCCTTTTTAGTTACATTCGTAAAATTATTCTCAATTTGCATACTTAATTAATTCCAGTCAAGACTCAACTCTCAAGAGTCAAGACCAACATAGAGAAGAGAACAAGAATTCCTTTTAACTCTCACTCAGTTGGTGTTGAAATGATCACTTATTCAGATACATGAAAGCATCCATAAACAGAGAGGATCACTTATTCAGATACATTGAAGATAGCACATAAATGCAGATAAAAGAAACTATATACTTGTATATCAGAATCATTGACAGGTGGTGTAGATCATCCTGTGGTAGAAACAAACTTAGTACAAGATTTAGCAATCATTGTACACGGTTCCATAGTTCATAAACTGGTAGCCTGGTAGAAGATTCATATATGGATCCTGAATAGAAACAACCAAAAGAGTACTACTTACTTCTGCGCCGAGTTAGAATAAGATCACCATCTGCATCCAAGTTCAAAGTTTCAGGTCTTGAAATATGGTTATATGTGCAAGTATTGCAATCACGTAGCACTGCACAATTCTCCCAAAGATTGAATTTTTTATTAATTTTCACTGAGCAAATTTATAGAGTAAATTTTCCACAATAGTAGCGTACATATCACAAAACCAGGACCATATGGTTGAATAAGAAAGGTCAAAATACCTTTGCGAGGTGGTAAATAGATGGAAAAGCGGGAGAGGTGCGTCCCAGAGTTGTAAGGAGAACAGCCTAGGTGGACCTCACTCATCACCTGCTCCTCCTCCACCGGACCACCGCTATAACATGGTTGCCCTGACGACGGGAAAGGCTCTTGGTCATCTTTTCTGTTTTCCATCCCGGCAAAAGCATATGGGTTAAGGTCTTATGTCAGTTATGTGGATGGAGGCGTTGGTTTGCGCACGGCCCACCCCAATACGTAGTATTAATTTTTGTAACCACACTTTTTATAGTAGCTTGCAAGGAGCTTTTGCCATTGTTTCTATTTTTTTTAAAAAGACTTTTTAAAATGATTTTGGAAAAAATGTTTAATAAGGAGTAGTAAAAATTGATGGTGTTTGATAAAAGAAAGTGGTTCTGAAAAAATAAAAGTTAGCAATGTTTCATAAAATAAACGTTTTTTGTGCAGAAGAATTTCATAACGCCCCTCAACCTGTTTCCAACTTTTAGCTTTTAAATGATTAATTTAAGCAGAAATTGTCACTTGAAAACATCAATTTCAACTTTTTAAAACCCCAAAACTGAAAGCGTTTTTTTAATTTTTTGCAAACACTCTTTAGACTCCTAATTATGTGATGTAGCATTAGAAGTCCAATATTTAAATGAGTAGTGGTGGATATTTTGGACTCCTGATTTAGCATAGTGGTGGATTAAATGAGTAGTTAAAAGTGACAAAGGAGATTAGGGAGTGTTAGAAATAGAGAGGATTGACATAGGGAAAGGAAAGGAAACAAGAAAAGGAATGGGAAGTGTGCTTAAATTGAAGTGGGGATGACGTCATCCCTGCGTCGTCCCTGCATCATTTTAATCTCAAATTTTGTTAAACTATTTGAAAAATATATCACATTTTGTTAACTTTTTTATTTGTTTTCTAAATTTTTCAAAAAATATATCAAAGTTTATGAATACTCGTGATCTTTCATAAGACATCAATATCTAATATATAAAATGACAAAAATCTGAAGTTCTCTTAAGAACAATACACAAAACACAAATTTTTAATTCATGGTGCCTACACAAATAACTGAATATTTCATAATTGAACTTTACCTGAACTAAGCTCATTTTTTGTTAACCGAAAAACGTTAAAAAAATAATGAAATTTATTTATTTTTACATTGAAATGTCTATTTTTTATTTCATAACTATTCAGAGAAAAAGTTGAAAGGAAAACATTGCTTATAATAATTTAATTAATTTTTTACTAAATTGATGTGTAAAAACTATGTTAACTGTATTTTGTTAACGGTGCTGAAATGCAAAGAAATATAAGTCTAAACACTTTTTTCATATAGACAGAATCTATTTTTAACATTTTGGTCACCACACCACTACAAATGGTCTTAATACTCCGTATTTTTTATAAATAAATTGCTCTTTATACCAAATAATTTTAATTTTAACCCTTTTAATTAGGACCATACTACACGCACATATATTTGTATAAAGCAATTTTGCTCATGGTTAAAAGTGACTTTCCTCCACCGTAAAAGTTACTCCCTTTGTCCCAATATAAAAGGCACATTTGCTTTTCCACACATTTTTAGGGTGAACAATGTTTGGACACTGTTTGACACTGTTTTGGACACTGTTTGACACTGTTTTGCACTGTTTTGTTTACCAAAAAAGGAAATATGCATTTTATATTGGAACGGCCCAAAAAGGAAAATGTGATTTTTATATTGGGGCGGAGGGTGTATAAAGGTGCCCTTATAATGAGGGGTCATATCATTAACAAAATTTTAACATAAGAGGTGACATCTTTCAAAAAAACATGAATTTTGCTACAGGTACCCCAAGTATACCCCAAGTTGTACCCCATATAAAACCCTCCCTTTTTACCCATCTATTTTTTTACCCCCAATCACTTCTCCAACTTCTCTCCTCTGTCTTTATCCTCTTTCTCTTCTGCCCATTTTTTTCGTTTCTAACGCAGGAGCTACAGAGACGAGGTCATCCACAACGGAGGCCGTCCACGAACATAGGTCATCCGCAAACGGAGGTCATCCACCGGCTATAGTACGCCTCAACTCTTTCTCTCTTCTTTCCCTTTTCTTCATTTTTTGCGAGCCTTTTCAATCGATATGCCTCCAACTATTCTTCATGAATTGGAGGTACCTTCCAACTATTCTAGGTCATTAACATGCCCATAACATGTTTGTTGAAATGCTTAAATGAATTTTTTGTTTATGTCCTCTTATGTTATAAGGATTTTGGATTTTTGTTTTACTAGTATAAGTTTCAACTTTAAACTGTGCATATTGTCGGCTGGTGTATTACTTGAAGTGCATATATGGTTGATTTCTCTTAGTAGTTGGTAATGGGTTAGTAGTTTAAAAATTGTTTGTAGTTGTCTGTCATGTGAAATTAGTTGTCTGGCAAGTCATTTGAGTTGTCTGTCACTTCATTTTGAACTGTTGAAACTAGCCATTTGAGTTGTCTGTCATGTGAAATTAGTTGTCTGGTAAGCAATTTGAGTTGTCTGTCACTTCATTTGAACTGTTGAAACTAGCTAGGTTTGTAGTTGTCTGTCATATGAAATTAGTTGTCTGACAAGTCATTTGAGTTGTCTGTCACTTCATTTGAACTGTTGAAACTAGCTAGGTTTGTAGTTGTCTGTCATGTGAAATTAGTTGTCTGGCAAGCCATTTGAGTTGTCTGTCACTTCATTTTGAACTGTTGAAACTAGCTAGGTTTGTAGTTGTCTGTCATGTGAAATTAGTTTTCTGGCAAGCCATTTCAGTTGTCTGTCACTTCATTTTGAACTGTTGAAACTAGGTTTGTAGTTGTCTGTCATGTGAAATTAGTTGTCTGACAAGCCTTCTGAGTTGTCTGTAGGGTATTCAATTCAACCTTTATTACATTACATAAATTGTCTGTATAAGTGTCGTAAATATCTGTCTTGGTTATACTTGTCTTTCTACAGGTCCGAAGAATGTGGAGCGATGGTTGCATCCTTTGCAGAGCACCTGTTAATGGGAAAGCCCTTGGTTCCAGAGTGTGAATATGCAAACATGTGGAACAAGAGATGTCAATACGATGTTCGTTTGTGGCGATTGAAGAGGGTGGAGGAAGCATAGGAATTCTTTAGAAATGTGGGAATGTTTTTATGGGTTGTTTAATGCAGTTGCAAACATTATGGATGCAATGTTAATTAGGAAACATCGTTTGTATACTCACACCCATTTTTTGAAAAGTTAATTAATTTCTCGTACTAACGCAATGTTTGATAATAAGAGGTTGGATTGAAACATTAGTTTGTTGTGAATTATCATTGTTGACATTAGGTATACACATACATGCATTAGTTTGTTGTGAATTACCATTTTTGGCATATGTTTCATAAAAAAGACAGACAATACATATATCTAGACAGACAATAGAATAATCAGGCAGAAATTAGTTTTATACAGAGAGACAATAATTTTACAAATACAAACAATATGGTACCCAGACACACAAAAAATCAACACACATAACTGGATAATTATACATTTAATGTTTGCAAAAACTTACACATGCTCAAAAAACCAATCCAATTCTTCAACATTGTACAATATTTGACACATTTCCCCAGCTGTAATATGTAATGTTTGTAAAAAAATACACATTAAAAATATCAGAAGTTCAAAACCGACACATTTCTCCAACACTCTATGCTTCAGCCTTCTTCAAGCGCCAAAATTCAATACCAAATTCAAGTCTTTTGTTTGACATGTTGGTGTAGTCATAATCTGTAAGCATTAACTTCTCCAGATCTGTAGACAGACAAATAAAGCACAGACAGACATTTAGAACACTTAACACAGACAAGTAAATGTAAATTACAGACATCTATTTTTAAAATGACAGACAACTAAAGATGAATTACAGACATCTATTTTTAAAATGACAGACAACTTCACTACTCTTACAGACTCATCACAACAACATGACAGACAAGTCATTACAGACAACTCATACAAATACAGACAACTAACAAGCAAATGACAAACAATTCAATTAAATATCAAGTACATACGTCTATTTTGCAAGTGACAGACAACTCCTCTAGTCTTAAAAAAAATACAGACAACTCAAATTACTCAAGGTTAGGAATACTTAATATCTGAAACATTCCTAATATGCACAATTTAAAGTTGAAACTTATACTAGTAAAACAAAAATCCAAAATCTTTAAAACATAAGAGGATTGTAACAAAAATCCAAAATCTTGTAGACAGACAAGTATAACCAAGACAGATATTTATGACACTTATACAGACAATTTATGTAATGTAATAAAGGTTGAATTGAATACCCCACAGACAACTCAGAAGGCTTGCCAGACAACTAATTTCACATGACAGACAACTACAAATCTAGTTTCAACAGTTCAAAATGAAGTGACAGACAACTCAAATGGCTTGCCAGAAAACTAATTTCACATGACAGACAACTACAAACCTAGCTAGTTTCAACAGTTCAAAATGAAGTGACAGACAACTCAAATGGCTTGTCAGACAACTAATTTCACATGACAGACAACTACAAGCCTAGCTAGTTTCAACAGTTCAAATGAAGTGACAGACAACTCAAATGACTTGTCAGACAACTAATTTCACATGACAGACAACTACAAACTTAGCTAGTTTCAACAGTTCAAATGAAGTGACAAACAACTCAAATTGCTTACCAGACAACTAATTTCACATGACAGACAACTCAAATGGCTAGTTTCAACAGTTCAAAATGAAGTGACAGACAACTCAAATGGCTTGCCAGACAACTATTTTCACATGACAGACAACTACAAACAATTTTTAAACTACTAACCCATTACCAACTACTAAGAGAAATCAACCATATATGCACTTCAAGTAATACACCAGACAACAATATGCACATTTTAAAGTTGAAACTTATACTAGTAAAACAAAAATCCAAAATCCTTATAACATAAGAGGACATAAACAAAAAATTCATTTAAGCATTTCAACAAACATGTTATGGGCATGTTAATGACCTAAAATAGTTGGAAGGTACCTTCAATTCATGAAGAATAGTTGGAGGCATATTGATGGAAGAAGGTCGCAAAAAATGAAGAAAATGGAAAGAAGAGAGAAAGAGTTGAGGCGTACTATAGCCGGTGGATGACCTCCGTTTGCGGATGACCTCCGTTCGTGGACGGCCTCTGTTGTGGATGACCTCGTCTCTGTA